TTGAGGAAGTGCCACAGTATCTTCCACAATGGTTGAACTCGTTTACACTCCCACTAAAAGTGTTAAAGTGTTCCTATTTCACTATATCCACTCCTGCATCTGTTGTCTCCAGATTTTTTAATGATTGCCGTTCTAACTGGCATGAGGTGGTACCTCAGTGTGGTTTTGATTTGCATTTCTCTCATGACCAGTGATGATGAGCTGTTTTTGGTATGTTTGTTTGCCTTATATATGTCTTCTTTTGAAAAGTGTCTGTTCATATGCTTTGCCCACTTTTGGATGGGTTTGTTTTTTCTTGTAAATCTGTTTTAGTTCTTTGTAGATTATGGATATTAGCCCTTCGTCAGATGGGTAGATTGCAAAATTTTTTTCCCATTCTGTTAGTTGCTGGTTCACTCTAATGATTGTTTCTTTTGCTGTACAGAAGCTCTGGTGTTTAATTACATCCCATTTGTCTATTTTGGCTTTTGTGGCCAATGCTTTTGGTCTTTTAGTCATGAAGTCCTTGCCTATGCCTGATATCTATTTTCATCATCACTATTTAATTACCTACTTTTATTAATAAAGTTCTTGCCTAAATTACAGAGCAAACCTTCTAGAAGAATTGAACTTTTATCCTGTAAATTGTACCATAATTTAAAAAAATCAATTTAAGTAAGAAATAAGTATATTTTTATACCTGAACTTTTTAACTAGTTAAAAAGTTTGGAGATAATTACCATTGACAAAATAAAGAAATGTGATAATGTACCAGTTAATAATGCCTTAAACTTGTCTGAAGTACAGCATCAAGATTAATGGCTCAAGGAATCATGAACAAATGAGGTATAGTCATTTTATTTCACAAAGGTAAAATATATTTATAGAAATACAATAGAATAATTTTTAAAATGGTATTTATTAATTAGAACATTATAATAAAAAAGAAACTAAAAACAGATTTTGGAAGCTTTGTAACTACGTAAAATTGCTATTATATATTACAGTATAGGTACTTCTAATTTGCAATACAGAACATGTTAATATTTTGTTCAAAAATTAGAAGATCACTAAAATTTTGAGGTCAGGTATATCAGATGTAGCAGCTAATATACATCATCATCTAACAGCCATGAAACTGTCCTGATATATTTTCCAAGTAGTAACCTAACATTCCTCAAGGGGATTCTTTTCAAAGAGTGGCCATAATGTAGGCAATTCTTGCTAATTTAATGACCATCTTCAAGCTGTCCAAGGGTATAATAATAAGAATATCTTGAAGATGCCATTGTCATAAAAATACATGTGTCTGTATGTGAGACCTTTAATAAAACCTTTATTTTCTTCGAATGGCTTACTGATTTACAAATTAGCTGTATTAAAAGTAATAATAGAAAATATATTTTTAAAGTATATATATTGCTACAAATCAGTGAAACTGTACATTAGAAGGCCTTCATCATGTAGAACATATAATAACTAACATATGCAACTTAGTGTTTGCTTTGCCCCTCCAGTCACCAACACAAGTCTGCTGCACTGCCGGTTCTTTCTGTGTCCAAAGTCTTCCCATGTCATAGACAGCTGGGCTGTGAATGCTAAGGTGGGCTCTTGATTCTAGTTATCAGAATCAGGACTCTAATGGTACAGGAATTGTATAAAAAAGAAAAACAGGAGGGCAAATACTAGAAATTTTCCCAACTTAAATCACAATCAAATACTGAAAAAAGCTCAATTAAAATTATTAATATTTAAATAAATATATAATGTATATATATTTATGGTGATTAACCTATATTGACTTTACTTTCAAATTCTACAGGCTGTGTCAGAGAAGAAATGCTTCTTTCAGATAAAATTTACCAGACCAAAAATAGCCACGTCCACCCCCAGAGAATGGAATGGTAAACAAAAATTCTGATTTATGAGTTAGATTTAGTGCTCTGATGGAAATAGGAATTTGTCTCCCTAAAAAGGCAGATTATGTATTTATATATATATAATCTATTAATTAATATATTATTAATATAATGTTTATTATAACATATGTTATAATATTGGTGTTATTAACATAATTAACATATTTACAGATTTTATTAATTTATATAATTTATATAGAGATATTTAATATATGTTGAATATATAATATAAAATACTTATATTTAAAATTTTTATTTTAACAATTTGTTAGTACTTTTTTATGAACTTACATGTGATATTTAGTGTTTTTTTGGACATTAGAAATTGGTGTTTAAACCCACCACCCTATCTCTCTTTATTATAGCTTTATCAGCTAATATTTTGCCAAAAATCTAAGCTGTACTATGCAAACTCTGATCCTGGACATAACCAGCATCCTGAATAGACACATGCCTGTATCACTTGCTGGCATTATATTCTGAATTTAGATTTGATCAGACAGTGTTCCTGGATTTTGGCAGGAACGTAAGACTCCTGAGTCAAAGGTGAAGAATTTTATTACTCAAGGCCCAGAAAATATGAGCATCAGTATACTAACGTCCATTTTTTTTACTGCTATTTTAGGAGGTAATGTAGATAGTCTCACATACACATCTACACACATATACATAGTGGGATATGTGATTAGGAAACCAAAGTTTAAGAACCTGAGTCTTTTGTACTAGGTGATAAGCATTCCCGCACTTTCCTCTGAAGAGAAATGCTATTTCTATTTTCCAGTGCTGAAAGTGCTCATAAATATAGCAGTTAGTGCCTCACTTGAAAGACATGCAGAAATTCAAGGAACTCATGGAAAGTTGTTCCCCAGCAAGATGAAGAACATATAATTAAAAGAAATTAAATTCTTGCCAAATCCCTTCCTCTTCCATCACCACCAGCAGTCCCCTTCAACTTTTCCATGAACTACAATTAATAGATTAAAGAAAATATATTTAGCCAAATAGGCATTACAATGGAAAGAATTGGAAAAATTTGTAAAAGAGTACAAGAAAAATATGGCTGTTATGAAAACAGTATAATATTTTATCTGTTATTATGATGAAAAACTGCTGTTCAGGGATTCTAGAAGATAAACAGTTTCAAGAACTTGAACATTTAAACTTGACTAGTGGCCAGTTGCTAAAGTTTATTTTTTAATTGTATGAAAATAATATCAATAGAACTAAATTTATACATTAATGTGGATTTAAGTAAACAAACACAGTCTCTCATAATTTCTTCTTATATGTTTAATACTCTAAAACTTAAGCATTCATGTCAAAATTAAATAAAATAGCCACATTTTAAGGGTTTTCATTTGTTTTGTTTTGAAAATTAGAGAAAGTTACTTGATGAATTGTCTACATTATATAAGAAACAAAACAGCATATTGAAACATTAAAAAGTTCGATGGTTCAAAACTTATTAATCTAAAATTTGTAACAAAATTATTCTTAATTTTGGTGAGAAAAGCATCCTTTTCAATAAGTTTGTTACTCATAGTAATGTGACCACTCTACTGTAATAGAACTGTTATTTTTTTCTTATTCAGTATTTTTAAAGATTTGAAAGCAGTAGCATTAAAATTGAACAATCATAAAAAATCCTGATGATAATCACAGAAAAAGATAATCATACATAATAGTAAGTAAATGTTTGAGGTTTCTGCATCTCTGAACCAAAAAAAAAAAAAAAAAAAGAACAGAGAAGAAATTAAAGCTGTTAGTTAAACTTGCTAAATAAGTCGGTTTAAAAACCCAAGGTGTTAAAAACTGTAAAATTTTACAAAATATTTTATACTTTTGAGAGAAAGCAATTGATGCAAAAGTAAGGGCCAAAAGAGACTCAAGCATAATGTTCATATTATAAGGCTGCCTCTAAAATAGTCTTCATTAACAAGACAAAGTTACAAAATTGGGTTTATTTTGTTACAATAAGTTGTCATAATATAAAGACATTTTTCTTTCTTTGAAGTGTCTTTTCTCCTTCTTTTATCAGTTTAGATTAAGTTATTTGAGAAGTTTCTATTACTGAGAAAGAATAGAAGAATGAGTATTAAAAGAAAATTTTACCACATTTTGGCTCTTCCATCACACACCTGCTCGTATGCACCCTCCATTTCATATACTGGGTAATCTACCCTTGTAGGGAAGCAAATCCCTGATTCCATCAGAGTACTAAATATAACTTGTGAACCAGAATTTCTGTGTCTATCATCCCATTCTATGGGTGTAGATTAGGTTATTATTGACCTACCAAATTTTAAACTAAAAGACACATTTCTTCTCTGACACAGCCAATAGTATATGAGAATAAAGTAGGACTAGGTTAACCACCATAAAAAGTCATATTTGAAAAAAGGACAATGAGAAGCACATGAATTTATGGGTGCATAATTATCACAACCCAATACCAGAAGTAATAAAGATCTTCTCCTCTGAAAATGGGCTAAGTTTCTTGATTAGCTCATCTAGCAAATCCTTATTTTGCTTTACAAAAGAAACTCCTTTCCATCTTTCTCTCCACTCTTGGTTCTGAACTTTAAGAGAATTGATCTTAATCATTTTTTTTGTTTAAATTATTCATGTGTCCAAACTGAAGTAGTTCATATTCAAGATTCTCCATGATCCAAGAAAGCCACTGCTGCTACAGCTATTTTCTTCACATGTCATATATGGAGAAGGAGTAAAATTGGGAAGCCCGGTGAAATGACATCTACTTTTATCCTTTGGCCATCTCTAGCTGCCAAGGAAGCTGAAAAATTACAGGTTTTTTTTTGGCCAAGTATTTTGTTTATTAGCACAAAATTATGTTGCTGCAAGTAAGATTGAATGGAAACAAATATTGGCACAGTAACTAGTAATTATGAAACAAAGCATAACATCAAATTAATCCTCTTTCTGCAACTGTGGTGTTCTCTTCCCGTTTTCCTGGTGAATCCTTGGTAGCACCATCCACACTACGAGCAACAGAAATCTGGCAGTAATTTTTGATGTGTATTTTTCTCTCTCACTCCATATCCAAACATGAAAATATTATCAGAATTCTTTTTATTTTTATAATGTCAGCTAGATAATGTGCTGATAGCATAATAAGGTTCGAGGAAGGCATATCTCACACATGAGCCTGAAAACCCAGCCATCACACTTGTGAACTACAAAAAGATCTCTCAGGTTGAACTACCTTCAACCTGGGTCCTATAACTGCATGACACTCTAGCTCCAGCTACAGGTTTTTTCCTTGCATTTTCAATCCAAAACCACTAAAACCTATGAGATATACCCACAATCAGTTTCTCATTAATTTCTTAATCCTTTGCAATCTGTTTTCTGTTGCTTTTCTCCAATCTGAATGAACACCCCTTTAAATGGTATTCAAGGGTATCAACTTTCTAAATCAAGTAAAACTTCTAATTTTCATTTTATTTATTCTCTCTGAAGCTTAAGACTCTGTTGCTCACCTCCACCATCTTGAACCTTTTTTATCCTTTTGACTCTACTTTTACCATCCCTTCATTCTTCCTTCCTATAACTTTGTAGGAACTCCTCTTTCTCCTCATGTCAGTTAACTCACTTGTATTTAGGATGCTATTCATTGTTACTGCCTTAGCATAAAGAATCGTTTCTCTCCTTTATATTTGACAGCTTTATATAAAATAGGTAATCTCAAACAATATTCAAATATACTGTATTAAGCAGAGTGGCTCTCAAAGGATGTCTATACCCTGATCCCTAGAATGTATTTGCATATTAGATGAACTAGAATGGATTTTCAAATGTAAATAAGGTTATAGACTTTAAAATAAGATGATTATACTGTATTATCCAGTTGGCCCAGCCTAATCATATAAATCCTTAAAGGAAGGAGTGTAGCAGAAAAAAATGGTGGAGTAATTTAGAAGTATAAGAGAGACTTGACCTGGCCAAGCTGGAATGGGTAAATGGAAAGCATGCAAATAAATGGAGACAATCCCTGGGAGCAAAGATCTGATCCAAGATGACAGAAAAGAAATAAGAACCAGAGTCTTACAACCTCAAGAAACAAAATTCAACCAATACCTTGAATAGGCTGAGAAGCAGATATTTTCTTAGAGGTTCCAGTAGGGAAAGCAGCCTTGCAAAAACTTGATTTCTGTCTCTTAGAGTTTTGACCTACAGATATTATGTAATAATACATTTATGTCATTTTGAGCTGGTCAGTTTGTGGTAATTTATCATGGCAATAATAGAAAATTAATATACATGCAAAATACCTTCTCATCTTAACACAAATAAAGGAAATTCTGGGAATTTGGAGCCTGAATATGGCTCTCCTCCACTCCCCAGCCATACTTAGGTTATTTTGTCTCTCCTGAGCTCGGTGGACTCAGGAGAGTCCACTTCCAGGCTACTAGGGGGGACTGAGGCCTCGAGGTTTGTACAGGTCCCTTTAAAGAGTGATGTGGGGGACAGGAAATTTTCTACAATAAGACAAAGAAGTCCAGAGGCCTTAATGGAAGAAAAAGCCTCTTGCCAAGAGCTTTTTGTGAGGGAATTAGTAAAATCTGGGCATAATGCCATAGCCTTTCGTGAGTGTCAGAATGCTAGAAAGATACTAAAAGTGCAAGCTGGGTCTTTCCAAAATGCCAGAAGGGAAAAAGCATGTTTGTCTTCATTACATATAAAACAGCAAAGTGTAGAAAGGCCCAAGGCCCACAAGGGGAAAGATAAACTGCAAGGGCCCTAAGCAGAGGCTAGCACTTTGCCCTTAGTTCACAAATGCACAGTGTGACCAGTCCTTTTGATTTTGCGTGACATTTAGGCATGAGTCCCACTATATCCAACAAATAAGTCCATAAATATATAAAAATGCATACATAAATGCATAAAAATCTGCTCTTTTGATAGGCTTCCCACATAAATAACAAAGAAACAGGCTGAATAATCAAAACATATACCCAGTAATGCAGAATTAGTAGGGAGAAGTAATCAAAATCTTGGATTAAAAGACAAACCAAACATTCAAGCACAGAAAAGTTCTTTATTTTTAATTTTTAAATTTTATATATTTATTTTAAAGACAGGGTTTTGCTTTTTCACACAGGCTGGAGTGCAGTGGCATGATCTTGGCTCACTGCAGACCCGACCTCCTGGGCACAAATGATCCTTTTGTCTCAGCCTCCTGAGTTGTTAGAATGACAGATGCATGCCACCATGCCTGGTTATTTTTTAGGTTTTAGTTTTGTAGAGATAGGGTCCTGCCATACTGTCTAGGCTGGTCTCAAACTCCTGGACTTAAACAATCCTCATCTCAGCCTCCCAAAGTGTTGGAATTAAGGGTGTGAGCCACTATGCCTGGCCAAAATTTATAGCTGCAACATTATAAGGTGTTCTGGGAGCATAGTCAAATTTAGAAAATTCAGTTTATGAATTGAAAGAGAGGATGATCAGGATTGAATGCTGAATTGAATAACCGAGAAAATCAGATGCAAGAAATATCTCAAAGAACAGAGAAGTAAACAAGCTGAATGACTTAGAATAGATCTAAGAGGCTGAATGTGACTAATAAGTTCTGATGGAGAAAAGGCAATAGTAGGGAAAGAGTAAGCAAACAATACAAGAAAATTTCCTTGAGCTGGAAAGAAGTCTGAATTTGCAGGTCTATAGTTTCACATATGTTATAGGCTGCATTAAAAAGAAAAAGATAACAGAAACCTAACTATAATGACTTAGATAAGTACAATGTTGGATTCAGATCCAAGATGGCCGATCACTAACAGCTCGGGATTGTAGCTCCCAGTGAAAGCTCAGAGAACGAGATGACGCCACACCTTTAGATGAATTTTTGTCACTTACGGATCAGCCGATTCCCAGTGGAGGAGCCCCACAGGTTGCCAGTGCGACTCTTGTGGCCACCGCAGCGGTTTTGCCGGTGCCTCGGCGCAGCAGCTCTTCATGCAGAGCAAACGGGACCGCTTCCCCTACCGATGGAAGTTTGGAGCTCTGGGAAGTCAGAGCCACTTGTTGCAGACTCAAGAGGGAAGCCAGATCAGAGATTCCTGGGCAGAGCACCATCAGTCTTATCGCTGCTATTTAGGCCAGCACAGTGGGTTGCTCGGATCCCAGCACTGGGAATCAATAAATCGGACGTCGACTCAGAAACCTAATTAGATAGGCGGTTCATCTACAATGAAGGGAAAAAAAACAGCCTAAGAAGGCCAAGTATACCCAAAATCAGAACCGATCAGCAATGGAACAAGCCCTGATGGAAAAGGACTCATCAGCAACAGAACAAGTCCTAATGGAAAAGGACTGTGTTCCATTATCTGAAGTAGGCTTTAAAAGGTGCATGATAAGAACTTCTGGGAGTTAAAGGAACTTGTTCTAACCCAATGTAAGAAACTAAGAACTTGAAAAAAGGTTTGATGAAATAATAAAAAGAATAGACAATATAGAGAGGAATACAAATGAACTTATGGAGTTGAAAAATACAACACGAGAACTTAGTGAAATATGTACAAGCTTAAATAGCCAAATGGATCAAGCAGATGGAAGGATATCAGAGGTCGAAGACCAACTTAATGAAATAAAACGACAAGACAAGAATAGAGAAAAAATAATAAAAAGGAATGAGCAAAGTCTCCAAGATATATGGGACTATGTGAAAAGACCTAATATACGTTTGATTGGTGTACCTGAATGTGATGGAGAGAATGAATTCAAGCTGGAAAATACTTTTCAGGACATTATCCAGGAAAATTTTCCCAACTTAGCAAAGCAGGACACTATTCAACCCCAAGCAATACAGAGAACAACACAAAGATATTCCTCAAGAAGACCAACCCCAAGGCACATAATCGTTAGATTCACCAGGATCGAAATGAAGGAGAAAATATTAAGGGCAGCCAGAGGGAAAGATCAGGTTACCCATAAAGGGAAGCCTATCAGGCTTACAGCAGATCTCTCAGTGGAAACCCTACAAGCTAGAAGAGAGTGGTGGCCAATATTCAATATACTTAAAGAACAGAACTTTCAGCCCAGAATTTCATATCCTGCCAATTTAAGCTTTACAATTGAAGGAAAAATAAAATCTTTTATGAACAAGCAAGTACTCAGAGATTTTATTACCACCAGGCCTGCTTTACAAGAACTTCTAAAAGAAGCATTATATATGGAAAGGAACAACCAGTATGAGCCTTTCTAAAAATACACCAAAAAATAAAGAGCATTAACATAAAGAAGAATTTACATAAACGAAAGGATAAAATAGCCAGTTAATATCAAATGGCAGTAACCCTAAATTTAAATCGACTAAATCCCCCAGTCAAAAGATACAGACAAAATCTAACGGTATATCTAAAGATATACAAAGACTCAAAATAAAGGGTTGGAAAAAACCTTACCAATCAAATGGAGAGCAAAAATAAATAAATAAAAAGCAGGAGTTGCAATTCTCATAATTAATAAAATAGATTTTAAAACTACAAGGATACAAGGGTAAAAGGATTAATGTAATAATAAGAGATCTTAACACCCAGATACATAAGACCCATAATGAGATTTAGATTCAACGAGACAGAAAACTGATAATGATATCCAGGACTTGAACTCAGATTCAGAACAATAAACTCAATAGAGCTCTCCATTTTAAACACAGAAAATATTGACTGGCCATTATTGATACCTATTTTAGGAATGAAGTAATATTTCTTTTTCCCTCTCTTTCTCTTTTTCCCTCTTTTTTTTCTCTTTTTCCCTCTTTTTCTTTCTCTAAAAAAAAAAAAAATCAATGGTCTGAGGACTCAAGATGGCTCTGTGAGAACAACCCAGGATTGGAGCTCTCATTGAATCCGCAAACGGTGAGTCGGAGCTGCATTTCCAGACTGATCTTTTTTGCCCACAGAATGGGGAAACTCCCAAGTATAAAAAAGACACGGGATGCCAGGCAGTAGGTCTGCCTGGTGAAGCCGGCAGCCGGGGTGGCAGCGGCTGGCCCTACCCAGCAATCCCAACAGGGCACACTTGTCCGGGTGCCCTGTAGAACCGGCAACCTGAGACTTGAGAGGGCTGGACTTGAGACTGAACGAGACTTGGACAGTAGGCCAGCCCAGGGGATTGCAGGGACAGATTGTTTGGGACACCCAGTGGGACGAACAAAACCGCGATTTCAAAATATCCTGAGCAGACG